ACACACACACACACACACACACACACACACACACACACACACACACACACACTCTCTCTCTCTCTCTCTCTCTCTCTCTCTCTCTCTCAAGAAAGATTCGGATATAAATCATTAAGTATTTAATAGAATTAATTAGAATAAGATTACTGAAGATGATCAAGTTAAAAAAGTCAAAACATATAACAGCCACGCTTTTTTCTGTCAGATTCGTTCATTTTATGCAAAAACGCGTTGAATGAGTGTATTTTTATCAAAATTTGAGATGGCCGGGATATTGTAAATCTTTATCATTAATTGTCTAATATAGTTTTCGATATATTTATGTAAAATTCATTTCCAAAGTTGTATTATTTTTTGTGTATGACATCTATATAATGAATAGTGTACATAAGTGACATTCAAAAGGTTTTAAGTGATGATTATTGTGTTTGTTCAAAAATTATTATCAAATAAAATTAAAAAAATTTCTTATTTTTATTATATACAATATTGAAAATTATCCTATACCTTTCCTGCCGAGGCGTTCGATTTTCCACGCGAAGAGAGATCCATCACCCCACCTCTCTCCCTGCCTAGGGACATATGATTTTCCATGCGAAACGAGATCCACCCCACATTCCTCTTGCTTAGGGACTTCAATTTTCCATGTGAAGCAAGGTTCACCTCCTCCCTTGTCTCTAAGAAAGATGATGGATCTTGACGTCCCTAAACAAGGGGGAGATAGGATGGACTTCATTTCGCATGGAAAGTCATACGCCCCGCAGAGGGAGAGATTTATGCTTCGTTTGAAAAGTTATATCAGTAACGCAACTCTCCTAATTTTATGTTGGCCAAAATGGAATGCGTGTGAAATAAATTGCCCCTCAATTTCTTCTTTTTTATCTCTCTCTTTCTCTCTCTTTCTCTCCCCCCCTCTCTCTCTATTTAAATGAGTATTTAAATGAGAGAATGCGTTTCAATGTTTCGTTTAAACATTCTTAAAGCATAGATGGTTCAGAGTAAAGATTTGGAGAGAAGTATTACGTGTGTTGTTCCTCGAGAAATTGATCTAATTCTTGTGAAAAAATAATAAAGTGAACAGAAGTAACATAGAAAACCGAGCAAGAAAGATTTCTTTAATAAAAATAAATACTTATTGTATTTATTTTAAATTTATTTTTTGAACATACAGGGTGATTATACAGAGATATTTGAGTTGACTGATTAAAATAGGATACCCTGTATACATATTTGTATATAAATTTTCTTTTATATTAGCTTTCTCGTAACATTTTCATAGCATATATTTATAATTACGTAATATCATCTTGATCAAAAAGTTCCCGGAATTATCACCAGGTGATGCTCTGAGTCAGCTGATTTGAGTTCTGTTTTTTTTTTGGTTAGGTTGCCACATCTATCATTGACATTCCCATCAAATTTTATCACCATAGCTTGACATTTGTAAAAGTTATGCCGTCTTGAGTACATCTACCTCTGCACGTATTTTCGATTTTTTACAGTTTTAAAAATGGAGTTGAATTTGCAACAACGAGTTTGTATTAAATTTTGCGTTAAAAATGGATTCAATGGTGTGAAAATCTTGGAAATGTTGAGAAACTGATTTTTTTCTGTTCGATCGAATCAAAAAATCATTACGGGGAACGCGTTTTAACAGCCGAAAGAAAGTAATGGAAAAATCGAAGACGGCTCTGATGGCTATACCGACAATAGAGTTCCAGAAATGTTTCGAGAGTTGGATCAAGCGCTGGCATAAGTGCGTTGCAGTTGATGGGGAGTATTGAAGAAGACAATATCACTTTTGATGAATAAAACTGTATTTTGAATTTTCTGAATGAATTCTGGGAACTTTTTGATCAAGGTATTTCTCTATAGTATATCTCTATATAGTATTTCTCTATATAAGTATACATTTTTAAGTTAATTTTAATATTTTTCTTAATTTTTTTACATTTTTTCTTTATTTTTTACAATATATTTACAATTTATTTTTATTTTTTACAATTATTATTTTAATTTTCATATAAAGTTTAGATTACTTTATTGCAATAGATCTATTTGCGTCGCATGCTCCAACATGCTCTTACAACAGCTCTTATTTATTTCAACGCATTGGAATGCGACGCGAATAAATCTAGTGAGTTTTACGAGACTTTTTTGACAGAGTGAAAAAAGGATAAAAAATGAAAGAAATTTAGGTGATAATTATGGCAACGCTAGGTAACTTATTTTACGCATGTGCATTTCATTTTGGCTCGATTAACATTGACTAACATCAAAGGAGCGAGTTGCTCTACTGTATACACACACGCACACACACACACACACACACACACACACACACACACACACACACACACACACACACACACACACACACACACACACACAAAAGTTATTAACGCTCAAATTGCTAGGACCAATGGTTTAAGAAATATCGCGATTTTTCGTTTGTCGAATCGAAAAATTCTAACACCCGAGGGGTGAAAATTTTTTTAAAGTTCTGGCAATTCTGTCAACAGTTCTGGGTAGCACCTCGCGAGTTCTATTAAAAATTATTATCATTTAAGGCGCTAGGTTTAATGGTTTAGAAAATATCGCGATTTTTCGTTCTTCGTTTTGTGAACTTCAAATTTTTAATTTTTTTTTTTGTATTCATTCGTCAGAACTATTCTTAATTTTGGGTAAGAACTTCAGAACTCTTCGGAGTGCATTCGGAACTGTGACCAAAATTTCATTTTTTGAAAAATGAGGTACCAACTTCACAGAAGTCTCAACAATTGGATTTATTTTTTTAAATTTGTAATATTTACATTTTATCGTACCTTCGAAGTACACACACTTTTTTTAAGCCTATATTAAAGTTACTATTACTTTTCGATAAATATCACGACGCTGGTCATCTGTATTCAATGAATACATTTTTGAAGAAAAATTAAAGTTATTATTATAGATATTATTTTTTTTTAATAGGTTGGAATAAGAAAGTAGAATTTAACTTTATGTCAATTGTTGTTATCAAACCTTTTATACAAATGATATATATAAGTCTATTAAGTAGATTTAAAAATCCCATCATCATCCCCCCCATTATCTTATAAATATATGCGCTAGTCATTTGATATCTATATATTTAATGAAAATATTTTTAAAACTTACCGCTTACTGTAAATGCGTTGCCGTTGTGTTACAAAACTTAGAAAGTTTTATCTTTTACTGAGAAGAGGAAAAAACACAGTTGTTTAAAAACCCATTTTGTAGATATTTTTTTAAAGCAGTTATGTGTTTTTTTCACCAATTGATTCTCATTACTCTGTTCATAAAAGTATTATATAAGGTAGGATTATAAAAAAAATTAATAATTTACGAGTTATTTAACATTTTATGTCAATATGTACCACATTAAAATATAAAATATCTCGAAAACTAATAGTTTTTTGATATCACTACCTTTATGCTTTTATATGCAGAATAATTAGGGAAGGGAACCATATTGTGTCAAAAAATCATACCATTCCATTTTAAAAAAGTAGAAATGACCTCCATGTGATCTTGAAAGATCGATTTGAAAAATAATTTTATCATTATTTGTCGCTCTTCGAACTTCACAACTTTTATCTGAAACCTTTTTTTCTACGTATTTAATTTTTTCGAGATATTCCGGTGTTTGTTTTAGGTGCCCCACCTTATATATTATGTATATTATTATATTACTATATTGTTATTAAATATATTGTTTTATAACATATTTTTAATTGTTAGTTAAAAGTATGTAACACAATAACGTAATGTAACATAAAACTTTGAAAAGATGGACTTCCAAGTTAAAAAACTCTAATTATGATAAAAATAGTAATTAATTATG